AATTAATTACATAATTAATCAGTCCAACTGGGGAAAAAATATGCAAAAGTCAAACAAACAAACAAACAAATCACTATTTTAACTCACAGATTACAAATGCTTTATCTGGAAAATCATTATCAAGTTTTGTCCATTTCCCTCATATTATGGTTAGAGCTGTATCTACTGTATGTAAACACTTAAAATGTTTAGTACTTTTATAATATTTACAGTATTTTCACATACTTACAGACTAACAGTATGTGATAAAATTGTTAAGACCAGGGCATAAGAGTTACTTAGCTCTTCCTCGACCTAAGAAAACCTATTCACTCATTTTGGCATAGGCAGCTTATTACTTACATGTTCTCAGTATTCTGAGTGCTCAGTCAATGGAAGAGTAATCAAATTTGGCCTGAATCCTCAAAAAACCCCAAACCCCAAATACCCATATAAAAAACAAAACAAAAAACAAAAAAAACCCCAAACAAAACAAAACCAGGAGAGTTATCACATAAGTTAGCAGATGCTGCTTTGCTCAGAAAAAACATTTTAAAGCAAGATGCAGTGCTTAAATAAGCTGCTTCTGGTGTGTGACCTGCTGCAGCTGCTGCTTATTAAATATTAAGCAACTGATTAGTAAAGAAATCCCACCAAATAGACCATCCTCTTCCCCCTTTTTTTAAAAAAAACAAACCACCAAACCAACCCAAACAACCCACAAAACCAATTTTGGTAACACAAATTAAAAGCTTTGCAAATATTTTCAGAATGTGACCCACAGTTCCATAAAGTTTCTTCACCCACTAAGTTTCCATTTGTGGTCACACCATATCCCACCATTTTGCAAGACACTATTTCTTACTTACACAAATACAGTTTAAATGTTGTTCATCAAATGTATAGATTGCAGTGTATTGTCTCTCGTGACAGAAATCCAATAGGTTTTGTTTATTTATTTCATATTCATTTCACCACTACTATCCCACTAAATCCTTCCTGCTACTGTGTCACAGGACTGTATTAACAGATGCTCTTCTTCCTGAATTCTCCAGCAGAAAGCTACTGTACCTTTTCCTCATTATGTTTAGCAATTTGTCACTACATTTAAATTAATGGCCAACAATACAAAGTTTCTTTCTTAACTATTTGAGGAAGTACTGAATTTAAGACTGCAGTACTGACAAGAGTAGCTTTCTAACAGCTGTCTGTTACTTCCACTTGGCATTTTAAATTAGAAAAAGGTATTTTGTTTTAATTCTTAACTCCTTCTCCACCTGCAGTTTATTAGCTAAAGACTTGATTTATTTAGGTCTAGTAGCGTGTTGCTTTCTGTTGAACTGAATTGGAGTAGTCAGGTGTATTATTGTGTTGCTTCATTTTAATGCCAATACTGGAATTTGACTTGCCTAAGAACTGTGTAGCTGCGTGAAGAGTCAGGCGGGATGCACCGGGAGTGAAATCGCTGTGGTGAAACAGCGCGTAGTATTCCTAAAATGCTGAAATGCGCGTAGGCTCGCAGAGTGGTTTGGCTTGGCAGGGCCCTTAGCGATCACGTAGCTCCATCCGGCCTCCCCGCCGCGGGCAGGGACAGCTCCCCCGGAGCGGGCGGCTCTGCTAGGTGGGCAGGGCTGGCGAGGGCCGATCATGCACGCCGTGGGGTGCGGTGAACATCCATCGCCGCTGGCCCCGTGCCCGGCTCCCACCGCCGCCCGGGACCGCTGCCGGTGGGACGGGCGGGAGGCGCGGCGCTCCCACGGCGACACCGCGCGGCCACACGGCAGCGGGAGCTCCCCGCGCTGCCCCGGGAACGGGCATCTGCAACTGAGAACTGCCAGCCTGCGGGTGCACCACACCTGTCCCCACCTGCTTGGTTAAAAACAAACAACTAACAAACAAACAAACAAACACACACACACACACACACACACACACACACACACAAACACAAACACACAAGGCTTATCATTTTCTGATGCATTCTTGGACTTAGATTAGACACGTTCCCAGTTAAAAAAATATATTTACAATTCCTCCCCTTGCTCACAAGTGGCCATATGTGTAAGAGAGGGAGGAATGAAGGTTCTGGCGCAGACGGTAATTCTCTTATAGCACACAGCAGGGTATTGTTTTAAAATCAGCAATAAACTGGAGCAAACACACCAGCCCCACAGCTGACTGGCACTTGAATGAAAACACAGCAGCAGTCCTGCAGGCACAGCTCAGGAGATGAAAGGAGATGAAAGTATACATTTAGAGGAAAGGATCATGTATCTCTATGTTTTCAAAGAAAGGTTCCCAGGTTTCATAAGGCACTCAAGCTCCTGGTCAAATAGCAGAAGTGAAAGTTTCTGTTTTAAGTAAGGAGGGGAAAAAACTTTAACAGAAGAATTTCAGCAGTTTGCAGTGAGGGCTGGTTTTGAGACAGTACAGAAAGTACTGACAGACTGCAGTCTCTGACGAACAGCACCATGATGTTATCTACAAGGTACACTAGTTCCAGTATCAAAATACCTATGACAGAGGCTGAGGTTTCAGCCTGGACTTTCACCCACAGCCTTTACCTTGCTCTCTTCAAAGTGCTCCAATTGCTTCAGCTGCCTTTTGCTCTCATGGCTTGGTAGCGCTCAGCCTTCAGATGCAGGGGCTCTGCTGCTCCACAGAGCACAGAAGGGCTCACCAGTAACTCTGAATTTACTAGAATTTCTGCTAGAAAGGAGAAGGACAGAAATGACTCATTTTCACATCCCTGTATACATGAGTGCTTCCTTCAAGTCAGGTTACACCCAACACCCACTGCTTAAACAGCCATCTTTGCATGAATAAAAAAACATTTTCAGGAGGGAACTGGTTACGGGCTTTATTGTGTACAATGCTCACACCAGTTTGGAGCCAAACATTTTTTGCACACAGGCACATGCAAAAGGTAGCCAAAGTGGTCTCCTTTGGGAAGGGCATTGCCCAGTGATAAAGCCCTGCCCCAACGGCAGGGAGTGATCACGAGTTCCTCTTTCGGAGAGAGAAGAGATGGACAGCAACCAGCAGCCCTCTCTGTCCACCTTTAACTTAGAGGTGCATAGGCAGACGTATCTCCTGCATTCTAGCAAAAAAAGAAAGGAAAAAAGAAGAAAAAAAATAACAAGAAGAATCCCATTTTGAAAATTAGAAATGTATTTATGTAGGCTAAATATAAGCATTCTCAAAGAAAATTTTTTTTATCTGCAGGAAAAAGAAGAGTAGAAATAACAGAGGAAAAATGATGGAATGAGAAGAGCCTTAAGGCAGTATCATATAGACAGCTTTCATGATAGAGTGCTATTTTACATTTTGAATGTATCTTTTGCCAAAGTCATATATCTTAAGCCACAAAGATGTTTTAGGCTTAAAGAAGAGATTATCTGATGTTGTTGTTGAGTAGACAGATAGATATTGGATACAAGGTAATGTTAGCAGCAAACACCCAATTTATTCTCTATGTTTAACATAATCAAAATATTTTTGTGTCAGTCATCCTTTCCTCATGATTGTTTCTGTATCTGGACTGCTGTTGAAATCTTTAGATAGGTTAAGAGCTTGATTTCCAATCATCTATTACATTAGTTAACCTAAATAATATATTAAGTGTTTTACAGAGATGTATGGGCCATTATTTAGTTCCAAAATTTTCTGCGACTAAGTTACTATGTTCAGTGTAAAATGGAGTCAGACTGGGCGAGAGGGCAGAGGGGAGCAGCCTGTGCATAGGAGGCAGGAAGGTCATTGGAAGTAGCTGAACCACGTTCAAAGGAGTTGCATATTTCTATGTGTGCTGTGTGCAACACATGATCCTTCCTGCAACTGCAGGGAGCAGTCAAAACTCTTTTACAGGGTAGTCCATGGGGGTTTTTTTAAATCAACAGCATTTTTTGAGTTAAATGAAGGAAGGACTATGTTGTGGTTATGAGAAGGTCACAGAATGCTCAGCTCAGTTCCCTCTTCCTGAAGCCAAGCAAGTGATTTGATTTCTTGAAAACCAGAAAAAAACCCATGTTTTCTTTGGTAAAACATGCAATAGACAGTCCTGTTAACCAGCGATTAGATTTATACCTCTGTGTTCTCATTCAAGGCTATTGCCACTGAGATCTGCAAACAAAGGCCTCCACAGCTTGCTGAGCCAGCTCCTTTACAGCTCACCAGCTTCCCCACAATATCCATCATGGTTTCTCTGCTTCTGTAGCCCAGGCACCAGGATTGCTGGGACTCCAGGCTACACAAGGGTTGGTGGCCTTCTAAGACAGTGGTCTTTGTCTCAATCAGTCTGTAAAATAAAGGTATCAACAAGCAGTCCCCAGAGATATCAAAGGATCCGCAACCTGCATAAGAGTAAACCTGATACTTTAGTTTTTGCAAGATAGATGAGTTACAGTATAGAGCTTTTTACCTTTTTAAATGACCCTTCTAACTTCTGAGGAGAAGCTGGAAGTGCAGCCTGAATTTGAACCTCCTGTGGACTTTTATCAAAGCGTCTTTGATGAACCTGGTCCAAACTATCTGAAAAGCTTAACATCTATGATAAAAAACAGGGCTCCAAAGTCAAAAGGACAGTTTCATTTGTTTCTTATTCCCTTGGCAGCTTTGTGAGTGGAGACGCAACAAACAAAAATCTACACTTAACTACAGTGATTTTCCATGTCATCTTCCCCTGGCAAGTGCCTAGCTTGCCCTGCCATGAGCCAATGGCCATAGCTCACCCAACAACCACCTGCAAGTACAGCATCATGAACCATTAGTTTTCTATCATTCTTTATCCTAAAGTAAACTCATTATTTCTCCTTATCTGCAGGTGTCCTTCATTGTATGTAGGACAGAAGTCCTTTGAGCATTACTGCTGTGCTGCTGTCCAATGGCAGACAGGAGAGGAGGGGAACAGCTCACCCCAGCTCCTGCCAGGCTCACTGCTCTGCACCTGCTAAAGCCAACATATGCTTTTGTCATAGCAGTAACTGTGATTGATCTCAATTTAACAGTCTGCACCACCAATTAAATAAAAGTAAAATTTATTTGGTATAGGACAGAAAAATAAGGAGAACAAAATCACTTACAAAATAAATGTTAAGCAAAAAAATTCACAGAACTAGATTAATATTTTATAAAAAGCTCAAACTTTAAGCATCTGATAGAAATGTTACTTTCTGCTCAGCCTGTTTTATGTTTCCCTCTCTCTTGTGTGCCTTTAGAAATACAAATTTACAAATGTCTTCCTCTGCATGTATTAGTTTACACTAAGCAATATTTACCACAGACAAACTGTATTTCAAAACGGCAACATACATAAAAGGTTATTCCCTTAAGACATGCGGTTTCCATTTTTGCTTTTTTAATCTGCATACCTACCTGCTGTGTACTCACTGAGACCATACACACATGTCCTGCTTCTGCCTGAGTTATTCCAATACTCCCTCTTTGCCAATGCTCCAGTTTAGATTTTAACTGAATGGTCCAAACACATCCATCTTACAGGTTATAAGATCCCTGTTTTCTTCCAATGTACATGAAGAACCATTCCATTAATTTGCACTTAAAGTGCTCCTGGATATCTTAGGTAAGAGATTCTCATTTTCTGGTGAGTACTGTCTGAAAGATTAAAGCTCACACAGTCTGTGTTACGTGGAGTCAATGTACCGCTGTGACAGGTTCTTTGCACCCAGCTGTGAGACGAAGGTGTTCACACCACTGCAATGTGTAAGTACAAAATGCACATTTTATACCACAATTTTTACTTTAGTACTGGTAACAACATTCAGCCAATTGGTTTTTATTTTCTTGAGCAATCTTCTCTTTTCTGGTGTCCTATGGCCAAGGGGCCCTCTCTAGGTCTCTCAACATTTGACATTTTGCCTGAAATAATCTCAGTTTGATCCTCAACTCCATTCTTTACCTCCAAGGTAAAAAGTACCCTTTCTATTTCCATACTTTTGTACAGAAGATTGTCGTGTTACAACAATGTGATGAATGATAGCAGTTTAGCTCCTTCATCCTCCACTCCAAGACAGATCTACTTCTACAAGTGTCATGCAAACAGTTGATGCTGCAAAGAGAAACTATCACCCAGTTTTTAAAGTGACAATATAAGGAACTTCTTTCACAGTGCTGTCTTGCAGAAAAAACCCAAAACCTTATGATTCTTTTAGTGTTGGGAAATGCCGGCCTTTAAACAAGAACTTTGAGATGTTATTTATTTCATTTACAGAAATATACACTTCCTGAAACAAGCTGAATTTCCTTTAACAATTCTGAACATTCATCATTGTGACCTCTTCTCCCAATGGCTGGTGCAGAAAGTCGTAACAAACATAACATGTGCTTTTCTTCCAAAAATATAGAGGAGAAATTATTTTTACATGGTACAAAAGTTATTCTCATTTTATTTATAGAGCTGAATAAAACAAAAACGAACATCCGTGGCCATTGTCATGCAGTGCGAGCCTCAGTGATAACATAAGAAGATAGGTTGAGGTGTGAGGGTTTATAATACAATGCCATTGAAACAAACCCAGCAAATCTTATAAGCAAGCAGCGAATCAAATTCAGTTCCGTAACCTATGCAACCACACTGAAGTCAGCTGGGCTGTGTGGACAGCAGCGTCAGACACTGGTTTTGGGACAGGTCTAAATACCAGCAATTGATTGTGAAGCCAACCAGTGCCCACATACACCTCACCTACACACTGATCCAGTGGCCTCTTCACACACTGAGCTCCACCTGGAGTTAGCAGATTGAGCACACAACAGCAGGGCTTGGCTCAAACACTGTAAAATGCTACTGTTGGCACTATTCATTTAGGACCTGGAAGAGTAACGTCTATTAATTCTTTTACTGAGACACAGAAAAGTTGACTAAAAAAGTCATAAGGCACCATTGATTCAACCTGTTTTGTATTATTCTTTTTTAACACTTCATAGTGAAATAAATACTTTAATACTGATCATATTGTAAATAGCTACTGCTACATGAAGCAATATATTGAATGATAAAATGCTGCATTGTTCTGGAATATATCTAGGGACTTTTACAGCAAAACATGTAAGTGGAAACGCTGTTATGTGAAAAAAAAATGCCCCTTTCTGCAGTATTAAGCTATTTTACATATATGCCAAACATCTATTCTGAAGAGGCTTCTAGAATAAAAAAGAATTGCTAAAACCTAAGCAGCTCAGGATTCTTGGCTTGTTAACTGGGGCCTTTTACACAGCACATTTTAAAGTGAAACTGAAGCTCGTTTTCCAAGTCTTTGGTAGTGGACCAGATTTTGGATCAGAAAATCTTGCTGAAATGATCAAATACAAGATGTTTTGAATGATACAGAGAATTAGCAGAACACTGGCAGCATTTTCATTGACTTTGCAAAGTAAAAAAGTCACGTTGGAAGCAGGTAAGTTATAAACAAAATATTGCTGGAGAGTTGGGGGTTTTTTTGGCTGCATAGCTATTTGGATATTAAAAAGGATTTGGCAGGTCAAGGTACTGAAAATATTGTATTCTTAAATTCAAAATATTGATCCTTAGAAAGGTATTAAGTGCTTCAGTTTTAAAATATGAATACAATAATTTATCCTTTAAGTTACTATCCTAAAAATCTTATTTGGACTTCTATTCACAAAATAATATCCCAAAGAGACAGGCACTTTAAGTGACATCCATAAAATACATATACAAATTCAGCATTGTGCCAGGTTTGATCCCAAGGTGCACCTGTCACATGGAGGTCCCACCAGTATCTGTTTAAGAAACTTTTACAGCCGTGATCCTGCGACTGGATGTGGATACATCCCTGCGCCTGCGCATTTAACTGCAAGTTCAAGACCGTAAACAGTAACTTAAAATAGGTCATTAGATACAAAAATGTAAAAAACAGGTACAGAATCAAACACTATCACAGCTAACAAGATTTTGTAAACAAACATTGAAAAGACCAAATTAAATTTGATCTGGCCACGTCCAACTCTAGTCTCATCCCATTCAATGTGATATCCAGGCTGCAAGGCAGAAAGTGGATCTGCCCCTTCACACTCACAGACAGAGCAAAAAGCCCTATGCACAGACATTTCAGCAGGGTCCAGACTCTCTTTGGCTAAATTCCTCAGGAATTTTTTCAAGGACTGACCTCATTCTAGCCACAGAGTGTTCTTAGGATCATGTCTCCCATGCTAGAGAAATATTTTCTTAACCTACGTGACTAGTTTCTATGTTTAATTTTGGATTTTTTTGAGCAACACCCTGTGAAGCACAACTGCTAACACAGGCTTGGGTAGGGATCCCAAGGAACACACTGAAGAAACGTACTGCTGATGAGACTGAGGGGACATTTTTCAGACCTAAACTTCCAATTAACAAAGAGCTATCATTCACCAATATTTCAAATCCAGAACTACAATCTTCCTCTAATTTCCAAAGACATTTTATATGCACTTAGATCCACTTGTAAAATTCACTCATACAATGAGCTCTTTTCTCATACACAAAATTCAAAAGCCATTAAATATATTAACCACTTGCCACAATGTCAGAATACCCTACTGTTTCTTCTATCAATGCAGCTCTCTGTAGAGACTCCTTTCAGCAGTTTGAAAGGACAGACTTCATGGCCAATTCAGAAGACCAAATCTTTCCATTTCTCTTGAACCAGTGAAGACGGCAAATTTTGGATGCTCCCACTTGAATGTACAAACCCTGGACCCCCCTCACATCAAAGGGCTTTCACTGAGGAATATTTTGATCTCGGCTGCTCTAGCATAATGGAAGTCAAACACAAACTCTCTAAGACTTGTGACCTAAGTGCCAAGAAGCTTTTTAAGTAAAACCCCAACATTTAGCTGTACCAAAGAAACAATTGGAAAGCAGTCTGTGGAGCACTGGCATTAGTGATGCTTTACAGGGGGAGCCTGCAACTACAGTAATTGCTGTGTTGGCACTCAAGACTACTTTCTGAGGACTCTTTGCATGCAGTATCAGGCAGAGGGCATTACAGCAATCCAGGGCACGGGTGACATGATGTGGGTTGGTCCACATAAGAGTAGGAGAGAATGAGGTCACAGAACACACAACACTATTAAAAAAATAGGAAAGAGGGTTAAAAAAATATATATTTTTTTATGCTGATGAATTCTTCACTTGTGCTTTTCTTTGGAAGATTCTCTGCATATAAAAACAAGGCCAGAGACACTCCATCCTTGAGGCAGGATGTGCTGTGCATTGTTTAAGATTTGCTTGACTAAGCTGAAGTGAAGAAGTTTAAGATGAATTCTTTGTCACCATGTAGTAGGTCTATGGCTTGCAGAAGCAGATAGGCTGAGTTAGGCATGCAAAGAAGGATCCAGGGGACTCTTGGCTACACTTTTTACCCAGCAACTGTTTTTTTAAACATCAAATACTTTTTCATTAAAATAATACAGCTACTGCACCCAAAGTGAATGAAACAGCTTTGTTCAAGCTCTTTCAGGTTTGTAGCCAGACCTCCCACGGAGCTCTCCAGGGGATGGGGTTGGACACAGTAAGCATGATGCACGAATGTTCTGTAGGGTCCAAAAAATGCCTGCAGTTTAAGCGAATAAAATTCATAGCTTTGAGCAACTATAGTCCATAAGCCACATCTATTACTCCTGTAATAGAGACTGAAGTTTGTTCCAGCTGACAAGCCAAAAGTGGAAATCAATCAAGACAGACAACTTTCCAGTCATGTGGACAGGAGAGCTGACTCGAGGGAAACTTGAGAACAGATGTCACCCAGAGATGGGCCAGAACCCATTTCACCTTGGTATAGGCGGCAGCGGGGGGGCACCTCTTTCTTTTCGGACAGACCCACCTAAAAGACAAAGAAGGGTTTTTTGTGTTACTCCTCCAGGAATACTCCTTCTTTTGAAGGGGGAGTTTGCATCCAAGCAATTAATTCAGTAACTGGTGAAGATCTACTAATTTTCATGCCTGGCCATAAAAAAAAAAAATCTTTGTAGAGTTTCTGGCTAGTTTATTAAACAACATCAGAACTTCAAACATTGTAAAATAACGTTTTAAACTCATGCTATCCCTAATGCCTGGAAAGCACATCTACTTTGGTCCACTGTCCCCTTCCCAAAACAGACTGATAGCTCTTGTTAGCCTTATTAATTTATGTGAACACACAGCTTCTCAGTGCTACCTGCAATACATGCAAATCTCAATAAAAAGTGGCAAGCTCCAAACACAGTAAAATTTCAAAGCTCTTAATGTTTTTCCCTATATGAAGATTTTCATAGCAAACTCATAAAAGGAAACACAAAAAAATACGTATGTTACTTTGCCTTCCTTTGTGGACTAATACAAGCAGGATGAAAGCTAACAGGGCAAAATGAACAGAGACTAACAGGAATCTCTGCTTCAAACCAGAGCTTTATCATCTGGAAACAGGAGAGAAACATCTGAGTATACAGATGATTAGAGGCCACCAATGTCACTGATTGTGAAAGAAGGCAAAATACCACTAAAGAAGATAGGAAACATTCATGCTACTGTAGAAGACATGTTTAAAAACTGAGCTGGAACAGCATGTAACACTGATTGGAAAAGACAAAAACAAACAGAAATGTATACCTAAGCAGCTCTGATGATCAGAGAACATGGCTTGGAAGCAGAGTGTAGTACATCCGGATTTAATCAACCCAGCAAAACAAAAACTGAGATGAGGATACGACTGTTGTCTTAAAAAACATGAGTTTAACACACAAGAAGAGAAGAAAACTAAACTCAAGGATGAAGCTGGCACAAAAATAAATGAGTTGTGCATGAATTTAGATGGGAAATTAGGATAAAGTCCTGAGGGATTTTGTGGTTCTGGCTGCCTAGAGCAGAAGGGCTGACTATAACAGCAGAGCTGGTAATTTACAGTACATGTTTCAACAAACAGCTCCTCACTCAAAAAGTTGTAGAGGGCTTGTACCTGGGAGCCTGCATTCAGCTTTTCCTGTGTGGTGAGGAAGGATGACCAGACTGTTAGTTTGAGAAAGCTGCAAACCTCAGCTTCCAGACTCTTCCCTAAGCACATTAATTTTAGGACAATACACTGAAATTCCAACTTACCTCTACTGTCATTTCTTGCTACTTTACTGGGATAACTTCTGTTCATGGGTACATATGGCTCTGGAGGTGGCAAATCAGATATTGGATGAAAAGAAAATCTGCTTTCCCATTCATCTGAAAAAAATCCCATGCATTTACTCATTAGTTTTCTGACATAGCTTAGGAAAGTAAATTGACATTGACATTATGTTTAATGCATATTTTATATAGCAAAATGCTTACACAGCCTGAGTACTGAATCAGCATTCTCTTAGGAAGTCAGGGAAGATGATGCTTTAGGTGAACTTGGGAATGAAAATTTTTATCAACTTTAACTGATCATTTTGCCAATTAAATGCAAAATCACAGATCAGGAAAACAGCCATAATTCCACTAAAGTAAGTCTTACACTCCCTTCCATGTGTAACAGATCTGCTTTTTTAAAACACACATACACACATACATATATATATGCTACCAGAACTTCCTAGTTTCTCCAACTTCAGAACAGTATTTTGTTTCCTGGTATAGAATTTACCAATATTCATGTATCATTGATATACCTACCTCAAAAGCATACTTAAAAGCACACTCCTATAAGCACTGTTCTTTCTCTTTTAATATTTATACTGGAAGAAGAAAAATAATCATTATGCTAAAATTTATGACAGAGAATCCTGTATATAATTAGTGTCAAAAATGGAAAAAGGCATCACTTGAAGCTATATCTCTTTAGACTCCAAAGCAAGCTAACCAGTTTCTTCATTGAAATAATAGGAAATGTTCCAAGAGCTCTGTTCTCCACCTGATTTTGAAAGCATAAGGAAGAAAGTGTGGGCTAATTTAAACTTTGTAATTTATTCGCTTGCTTGCCTCAGGACTTTACAACCACAACTTTCTTGTGATATTGCTGTATTTTACTGCATAATGTAATGAACAGCTGAGTAAGTTCTACCTGGCATTTGTACATGTGGTTATTGCTGGATCCAGTTTTTCTATGTTTACTTCCAATGGTTGCAATCACTGTGTAAAGGAGCTGCATGTTCTGAACCCTGCAGATGACTTGTGTAGGAAGAAATACGTCTGTGATCCTTCCGCCTCACCTGATGTGTAAAAATGCTTCAAAAGCCTGAGTTATGGTTTCATTTTCTGTTGGCTTTTTTCTAACCTTATAAATGTCAGGAATACCAATTTTGGCCTCCCGTAATTAACTGAAGGATTTATCTGTTCTATGGAAATAGAAAACAATTAAAAAGAAGAGCATGACAAATCTTTAAAACACAGCAATCTTGCACCTCATCTTTTTAATAAACACTAGCAGAAATAGATACTTGACATTTTCAGCAATGTTCTGACAATCTCTTCCCTCATCTGTTTTTCAGCTTTCAGCTTTTGAGTCATCTAACTTATTCCAACTTCCGAAGCATCAGTGTAGCTGTGGTTTGAATTCATATGAGAGTTGAAACAATTCCCTTCCTTTTTTCATGGTGTTTTTCAAAGGGTTATTTTGGAGACTGTATTGATGACTTTGCAATTCTGCTCTATGTATGGCATATTTATTCTGTTCTGGCTTGTCGGGGTTAACTGAGACCCAAGTGACACCTCTGCTGGTCAGAAATCAAAGGTTGGCACTAGAAATGAAGTCTGTATCCCAAACCTTTTTTCAGGTCTCAGGGCCAAAAGCCACTACACGTTCTCTATGGAGGGCAAACAGGTGGGAGGATGGCTCACCGTCCCCTGGGTCCTGGAAGCCGTTTCTGACAGCTGAGGGTGGCGGTGGTGGTGGCGGCGCTGCCGAGCCCGGCCGGTCGGGGGGAAGCGGAGGTCGTGCTCCACCTCTCTGGCTGTCCAGCCCTGCCCGGGAAGGCAGCTGGGGAGTAGAGGGCAAAGCCCTGGAAGTGCTTCCATTCCTGCTTATGGGAGGAGGTGGCGGGAGCGGGCCTAGAGCAAGGCAAGAAGCAAGCACACAAATGCTGTTAAATTTCACACCAGGGGTTACTCTGCCAGTGGAAAGTCACTGCTGACATCCCAAAGTCTCCTGCTAACAAAAAGGGCTGTTTTGGGGCCCTTGGCCCCAAAGGGTAATGGCCCTCAGCGCCCACTTCCCTGCTCTCCAGGGCTCTCTAGGGATTCAGTGCTAATTTGAAGAGTACAGCTCAAAGAAGCCGATGTATCTAAACTGCAGCGAACGCATTCCCCTTACCCTCAGCTACAGAAGTCTCTGTAGAAGTCCTGGTACTTGAAGCTAACTGTTAAACCACTCTAAGTTAACAATGGCCACAACAAGCAGAAGTCCCAGCTGGAATTCAGGCTGCTGTGGAGGTCCGAACTGTAACACATTTCCTTTCTATGTACCATTGCAAGGCAAGAGGAGGTGTAGCAGAAGACACCTGCTACCCTCAGAAGCTCTTTGTCCATCAGAGTGGTCCCCTCTGAGTGTCACAGTCAGGGTCTGTGCTTGTGCACAGGAGAGCTCTGCCCAGCAGTGGCTGTGTTAAGCAGCAACTCATCAGCTCACTCATTTATAAACAAATGAGCTGCATGACAAATTTTTCAGTAGTTGGAGCGTATCCATCTCCCTGTAAACTGGAAACAGACCTCACACACAGACTGGCATTTCCAGCGTTTGTTTATCTGTAACTGGCATGGTCAAATACAAAGGCACAGCCTACGTAATACAGACCCAGGGCTGTACTGAGGGCAGGGCTTCTACAAGAAAAAAAAGACAGGAAAGCTGCTTCTGCCAGAGAGAGAAGTGCCCATGGTTAGGACACAAGAAGGTGAAGCAGAGGGTGTGGAGAGTTATGCACGTTCAAAAGTCTCACTACCTGTTTGGTGCAGTTGGGCAACTGACAATTATGTTAATTTTCAATAAATGCTTCCCTGTCTTGATGAAATCTATCTGCAGACGTGCACTTTGAAAAAGAGAGCAGTAGATATTGTGTTTCCAGCAACAAGCATTGAAACGTTTCAAGAAACATGCTGTACTTCGTGTAGTTTTGCTCCCCTTCTTATTTTACAAATTACTAAAGTTTGCCTTCAGGGAATGGTTTCAAAGAATGAGAAGCATTCAGCAACTTTCAGAATAGTTTTGCTTGCTCTCTCTAAACGTAGCTAAACTCCATTGTCTATAGTGCTGCAGAATAAGTGTATTTATATGTAGAATGTATTGCTACGACTTCCTTCTACTTACTGAATTGAACCAGAAGAAAATTGGTGCAGGTTTGCTAAAACCATCTGCCTCAGAAAAGGATCAACTAGAAAAGTACTGGCAGAAGACAAGGCCACCACAGAACAAATTCCTGGAAGTGACTGAATAATCACAGACATTCTCTGCAACTTTGCTCCATCTCCCCAATGGTAATGGGATTTCTCTGATTTATTTACTTCAGGCTGCACTAGCATTGTGCTATCCTCTGGGCTGGCAACCAGCTCCACAAAGCACAATTTCAGGGCCACTATTTTCTGTAGCTGCACAGCTGCTGTAGGTGTTGGAGATCCAGACTGGTTCAAGGAGCTGGAAAATAACATAGCTGTCTGTGGGAGCTCCCACGACATTAATTTCTATTATCTAGGACTGGGCAGCCTAGAGATTATTTCTGAGTTTATTCTAAAGAATGAAATGAAAGGCAACTCTGTGGAGTTTCCCAGCAGTATCTTCTGTGCAATGCTTTTCTCCACCTGATGTTATAGGGCTTGATTGTACCTACATTCTCTCATCTCCAAAGGGACAACTACCAGGTACCAGAGAGTTGAGTTACGATGTGCAATTCTTATTATGAACAACAGTTGTCACAGAGGACAAAGTACATTATGAAATTGCTCCAAGGAGACAATTTTACTTTTCGTCTAATTTGATATCTGCATATGGCAAGTAACAACACTTAGTCACGCTGTAACAAGTGCTATTACATTTAACAACTGTTGGCTAGGTCTTTCATTAAAGCTATTCGTATTTGACTGTGTTTGTGTCTCCGAACACGTACAAGGTCAGGCTCCAAAAGCCTCCACTCGCGAGAACGCGACCATTAGCTCACGCTGGTTGACTCAGGAAGTCAGATGCTGTCACTTTACCAGAAGCTTCTTTACTTCAAAGAACGTAATGCGGAAATCCATTTGCAACCCTTTTCAATTACAGTGACTATAATGAAAGTTACCAAGATGTGTAAAAGTACACGTGAGCACACTGGTGATGCACTTTGACTTTCCTTAAGTCACCTTGATGCCCACAAACCCTCGCTTCCAGCTGCAGAATCCCTAGTGCCTAACAGGGATGTCATCCTGGGATATGTTGGTTGCGCGTGTGAAGCTGGTGCAGACACGGCCAAAGCACCATCACCCGGAGCCACCTGTCCCGGCCAAAGCGCCCTCTCCCCGTGCCACCAGTGCCCGCTCCCTACCTGAGCGGCCGGGGGGGTCTCTGACGGGCGGTGGCGGTCTCTCTCCGGGCGGCGGGGGCAGAGGTCCGGAGCGTCCCCCGCCGGGCGTCGGGCACGACCCCAGCGAGATGTTCCTCTGCGGCAGCCGCGGCATCTCATCTCCGCCGGCGGGGGCGGGCGGGACCGGGGGTGGCCCCGGTCTGCCGGGGGGCAGCGGGGGTGCCGGGGCGCCGAGGGTGGGCCGGGGGGCAGCGGGCACGGGCGGTTTGCTGTTCTGCGGCGGCGGCGGCGGCAGAGACGGCTCCCGGGCGGCGGGCGGCCGGTGCCCGGCGGGGGGCGGCGGTGGGGGCGGCGGCTTGTCCTCCGCCGGCCGGCCCGGGGTGGGCGGCAGCGGCGGGCGGCCCGAGAAGGCGGGCGCAGAGCCGGGGCCCGGCTGCCGGAGGGACGCGGCCGACCCCGCGCCCCGGCTGCCCGGGAAGGGCGGGGGCGAGGGCCCCAGGCTGGGCTGCCGGCTCAGCCCCGGCACCGGTGGCGACCCCCGGTTGTGCAGACTGGAGGCGATGGGCCGCGGCGTGCTGGGCACCGGCGGCGGCGCCGCCTCGGGCTTCGAGCCGGCGTCGGGCCTCGGCGGCGGCAGGCGGCTCCTCTGCGGGTCCGGGGCGGCGGAGCGCGGCCCCGAGGGCGGCCCCGGGAATCGCGGCGGGCCGCTCGGCGGGGAGAAGGGCTTGGCGGCGGCGGAGCGGCCTCCGGGCGGCAGGACGGGCGGCCGGCCTCCCCCGGCGTCTGCGGACACAGGACAGGGAGCATCGGCACCGCGGCACCGGGGCTGCGGTTCCGAACGGGCTCTGCGAGCGGCCAGGGCGCAGCCCGGCACGGGGCACCCCTGCCTTGAGGCTCAGCCCCAACCCTGGTACCACTGGGAAACCGCTCCAGAGCACCAGCTGGCATCCTTGATGCTGCTTATGAGGCACGAGTTAAGTGCCCATAAAGTAACACAAGTGATGCAGCCATCATACCAGCCAGCAATAAAACATGGAGGGAAGAAAATGGCGAAGAACAAATACTGAATACCATCAACCTGAGAGCAAAGAAATCTTGGCTTTTAAATTACATTTAACAACAGAAGTTCAGCAAGAAACTCTTTTCGGCCCTTTCTAGTAGCTGTGATCTAGGGATGTAGTTGTACACATCAGGAAGAAGTCAGCTGGCCCTGCAGTTGATAAATACTGTTCTGCAATGCCAGGAACTTTTGTATTAATACAAGTTCCCAAAAATAGACTGTGACACAATAGAAAATACCAGCTGCAAGAGACTGTTTTGTACACATGTACTGTGATGAAAAATTATGTTAGGCTATGAAATATGTAATATTTGTAACACTCTACAACCCCCATTACATAATCCTTCTTCAACGAGTATGAAATCCTATGTCCTTAAACTTAAGAAACTCAGTGGCTCCAGATGTCCTCTATTTAAAGGGGCATGATGCTTGGGGCAGCTGTTTGGTCAGCCAGAAGCACAGTCCAGACAAGCCTCCATCTGCAGTGTGCTTACCAGCCAGCTGGGATGCCTCATGCACTCCCTAAGCAGCAAATCACACTGTTGTGGAGCTGACACAAGTACTTTCCATTTGGAAAGTAGATCCTTTTTCCTGGTGCACAAGAAAGAATTAGCCTGGATCCTCCTCTGTTCCGGCATACCCAACAGCTAAGGCAGGACGTAATCTGCCTAACTATGCAGGTAGCCATTCAACACTACTAAGATCTTTAGTTTTTATCAATAACGAGGAGGATGAGTGAAAAGGGAGTCTGGCTTCTCCCTCATAAAACCTGATAGTAAGAATAAAACAAAATTCAAACTGAAAATTACATTTCCTAAGAGCCTATGATATTTGCTGGCTTTCTGAATCCCAGCAGGTAATTTATTGCAGTGCTATGAAGGTTTTAAGCAATATCATTTTTTCACACTGGAAATTCAAGGTCTTTCTTACCAGCATCCCGACTTGCAGTACATCTGAGCTTTGGCATTCCTGCTTGAAAAAGGCCTCCAAGGCCAGGGGGTCCACCGCCACCGAAGCCGCCACCGCTGCCACCACCAAAACCCCCGCCGCTGCCACTGCCACCTCCTCCAAAGCCACCGCCGCCACCTCCAACAGATCCTTTGGGTTCTGTTGGGAAAAAAGATCCCCCGAATTAGTGAAGCAAGACTGATCCTGCAAAGTCACCTCTTTCATTAGAGTAATGCTTGTAGCTTGAGAAAAACGAATGAACTTTCAAAACACAAGGTTTGGATCATCACACCTACCATCATCACCACCGCCACTGCACTATGGAGGAGCTGGTGCAGTAACCATAATAACCACAGCCTCTGTTTTATTAAGCCATCACTTTTGTCTACTCTAGACTGGAGAGCAGAGAAAATTGCTACAGAGAATGAATTTTAATGCAGTCTTTGTTAGCACCTTGGTTGCTTCTTCCAGTTTCTTTGTACTTTTGCTCTCTTATCCTTCCCCTCCGCTTCTCCAAAAGCAGAGACAGGGTAATTTCATGGGAAAAAGAGAAGGAAAGAAGAAGGCAGAAGGTCCTCCTTGAAGGTATCTCTGGGGATAACTGCTGGGAATGCACAGAATTCTCTCGTTATTGATGACATTGCAACATATCTACTTATTTAAACAAAGCCTAGTAGGACAGGAGATGTAGGTTTCTGTTTCTACCATTTCTGTAGGTTCAGAAGTACAGTGACAGGATCATTAGCTGTTAATGCTTCCAATAGGCAGGAATTATTTTATCAGCCCTCCCCCTTTTCTCTCTAATATCAATATTTCTGCTGTGACAACTGAGTCGCCAATAGTAAAATGAAAGTGTTTCCACAACTGCAATACAGAGAAGAGTCTTATTCAGAGCATCACTGCAAAATCAGCAGGTGCACAGATTGGGATATCTGTGGAGATCATCTCTCAGATGCTGGGCCGCACAGGCTAAGATCAATTGCTTAATTTCTTGGAATCTTGATTTCCACAACTTTGGGTGGGTAAAAATTTCACTGATTTCAAAGTAATTAAAACTTTGAATTGTGGATGAAAAGCACTTCTAAAAATTTCCCCAAGGAGAAAGGAAGAGTATATCCACGGGGGAAATGTTTCACATTATTCTTCTCTTTCTTAAGCATGTCAGCTCAGTTTGGCTCTGACTCAGACAGGGTGTTAACCTCTGGAGAAATGCTGCTTCCATGGCTTAGTCTTTCATCATGATTTGTTAATACATGTAAATAAGATAATAGGCTACATAATTTTTATCTTACTGTTTACCCCCTCCTTTAATCCCCTTCAGCTCATTACTATAGCTAGAATATGTAACTTCACATTCAAAGATAATCTTTAAAAACTGTAGCTGGCTGATTGCAGGACTGTATCTAATTTTTTAACAATTATTTTTATTTGGTCACATTCCTCTGGGTATTTCCTTCTTTCGTCATCATGTTCCTGTTACAGACCAGCCTTTAATTGCATGGCCAAACCTAGGCTGAGGTGTATCACATTTGCTAATCAGTCTGTAGAAGTGTCTTTTCTCTTTAGGTGATGAATGCTGTTCCTCTGTCAGCACAGGCCTGTGTTCCTCACTCTTCTCCTGTTTCTGTTCTGCCTTCCCAATACTTCTGCTACATGGGCTTCTCCAGTCTCCTCTTGGCACCTACCAAGATGTGCTGTGAGACACAGCAGCAGCACAGCTGGTTAGAGACCTTATTTCCATTCAGGTAAGTAGAGGCACTGCCTTGTGCAGTACTGCTGGGCTGGCTGAGCAGCAAGGCTCAGCCAAAAAGATAACACCCCTGAATCACTCCAGGAGTGGCAAAACTGCATGCAGCAGTGATACACAGGTAGAGCTGTGGCTTCTGCCTCTGGTTTTGCTCTAAGTGGTACTGGAGCCAATGGTGTCATGCCAGGCATGCATTTATTCTTATATTGTTTATGCAAAAGTAGAGTCTGAAATTCCACTTTATTCTCTGTCCTCTCCTCAGTCCTTATGGGGCTTTTGTTTGCCTGATTTGCTGCAGGTCCTCAGCAGAACTCCTGGTAGGACTTGCATAGTTTTCTGATATAAGCAAACAGGAAAATAAACCACTTTATGAGAATTAGCAAACAAATTAGCATTCACATTTCATAAGCAGTACTCGATTTCTCAGCTGACTGTTCATTCATGATGAATAGAATTTATTTTTATGCATGCCAGTTTCTGGCACTTTCTTTTATCTACTCTCATGGCAATTCATCTGATGAGATATAAAATAATTTTCTGCTTTCAGATCTGTAGAACCATTCATGCCTATAGAAATTCCCATATGTAAAATCTTACTTACTGTCCAGAATTGGAGCACTTCTGTCATTAGTAACAGTCTTCTTCAGCTTTTTTCCTTTGGTAATATCAGATAATAGAGCATTTCGCCCTGCTTGTTCTGACTTGCTTAAGGATGGCTTTTCAGTATTTGCCTGCAAAACAAAAATTAAAAATGAGGAGGGAAAATAAACCCCAATTTCTAGATACAAAGTTATGCTCAAATACAGTTGTTACTTGAGACTTCCGTGTCTGTTCTAACAGCATTAGAGTGGGTAGGTAGAATGCCATGTCTAGTTTTATGAATGATATTAAAGGTAGCTGGCCTTGTTACTGACTCGAAGTCCCCAACACTACTGCTTTCTAACCCCCATTATTCATTAGAAACAGAACACTTCTATGTGAATTCGCCTGTTTGAACTCATGATTTAAAGTCTCTGAATTTTTAAAACCAAGGCATATCTTTGGCAAATGGCCATTTTGGAGACTGAACAAGAACAAACTACACACAACTTGATTATACTAGAAGGTGGACATTATTGAAAGGTGTGGTGAAATACAATTTCTAGGTAAATCAGAGCAAAGATGGACCTTTGTCTACTATTTTAGCTTAGATAGAAATACTTTAAAATGGCAATCACCACTTCAGCAATATTGACCTTTTCATATAGACCAAATAAAACCTTTAGATGTATGAGATTTGTCTCAATGGTCCTCTCTTTTCACTTTATGTTTTGGTGACAGTTTTTCAAGAAAGAACAAAACCCCTCTAAACAATACACTTACATGCACATATATATGGCTCTTTATTCTAGGAAATGGTGCCTGAAACATTTTCTAACTTATCAGATCAGTGTTATGGAGAGTTGTCATGGAGGGATCAGAGTCTGTATCTTGCTTGTGGAAAATAAGGAAAAAACTCGTGGGAGACAGCCCATTCCATGTAATCAGCTAGGGTTTTGCTCTGAAAATATCTAGGTGCTTCAAATTGGCATTTCAAGAAGCTTCTTCTTTCTTGTCAGTGAAGTGACTGGCTGTTGGGAGGGCAAGCACAGCACAAGCTCTATTCCAGTTTAAGTCAGGTCTGATGTAGTTTCACCCACCATGTTGTGCCAGCAGTGGATCCTGTGCTCTGACACCACAGGCTGGCTGAGGGAGCTGTGCTAACTAAGAGTTATCCTTACTAAATTTAAACAATAGGATTGATTTTTTCCAGCTCACGTCATGGAAGTACTGGAAAAAGTGGGAGTTTGGAGAAAGGCAAGGGGATAGCAAGACTTCAACTCCCCTTAGAAAAGCTGTTGTCTCACCTCTAGATCAGCCACCAGTGTGGGAAGAATAAAAGGATGGAGAGTTAGAGTGGATAGTGACATCCACAGGAGAACTGGAAGGCAGTGAAAGTGACGGTCCTTCTTGTAGGATCAATGATCAACCATAAACAATATGTTGGAGAGCTTTCCCCAAATATCATGGATACCCTCATCCACACCTCAGCATCTCTGGACATCCTATTAAAAGTGACAAGCAGCAGCAGAGAACAGTGCATAAATTTACCTCCTGTAAAACTTACCAAGGCCAGTGTTGGGGGTGGAGGTGGAGCTGGAGGGGGAGGCACAGGCATGGTGAAAGACTGAGCTCTGTCTGCTCTTGCTAAGAAACCTGCACAGCAAAATACAAACACACAATGTCCAGAGATTAATACATCTTAATAAATAAATTTCTACTCAGCTAAAAAACATCCTTGCAGCTAACAGGTTTATCTTCTACATTTTTGAAGTCTAATTAAATAGTAAAAAGCACTTTATATTTAATTGTAAGGAAACCAGCTGCATCTTTAAACAGGGGCTCCCTCCATGAACCCCACTGCCATACAAGCCAATAGATATACATCTAGTTTTGAACACTTACACAATCCATGCATTGCTGTGGCAGTGCACAAAATGCAGTAACCAAATTGAACTATGTTAGATCCAACAATCTTGTTCCCATGCAAGTGCTTCAGGATAGTCCTGTAGCTATACCATCGGCCCTTACTTCAAGAAGGCATCACACTTTAAGATCATACTCAGAAAGAGATGGTGACTTGTTAAATCCCTTCAGCTGCTAAAAGATTCCTCTACCTACACTGTTATGGGTAGAGTGGAACAGCAGAGCTCTGGGATGGGCTCGTGTTTCTTCCTCTCTCCCTGCTTGCTCTGAAGATCCCAAGCTGCATCATCACGTCTGAATGCACCTTCCTCCTCCTCAGAAGAAGCACACATAGATATGCTCTGGATAGTCTCCCTGAGGAGGAAGAGCTAGCAGGCAGCCTGGCCCCTCAGCTGCAGGCTGCTGTAGGAAAAGCCTGGCTGCTAAAGCTCAGCCTTTCACAAGCTTTCCTGACAAGAGACCAGGCTCCCACTTTTCCCCACTCCAAGCTGAACTTTCAGCCTGGGCAATCCTAGGCGGGTCACATCTGAGATACAGAGATTTATTGCAACAAAATTATGGAACAACAAAAAAGGCTCAAGTTTCAAGAACTATATTTTCAAGTCACAATTGTCAAGGACTATATTTTCAAGTCACAAGGGCTTTTTGTGGCATTTTGGCACACAGCTTGCTGGAACTGTGCCTATCAGGAGCTTTGCAGCATTTCTGATAGTGCTATGGCATTTCAGCATGTGCTTTACTCTTTTATCTGAGCTTTCACCCATGCTGGCCGTTCACCTGAGCCACCTTTAGTAACAATGATTTGCCACTACTTACATAATGTTTGCATAAAACAGGTAAACACAGTGGGAATAGCAACATGAGTAGTTCTCCAGACAACCCCAGGCAGATGGCTGAGGTCCCCAGGGCAGTTATTTACATGAATACACAGCTCTTACTTTTTAAAGTAACTTAATTGTTTTAGATGAAACCAAAGGGAACTGTAATAGCCCAGTATCTGTAAAATCAACATCATGCCAGGTACAGTACCCTTTACAGTTAAAATGAACTTTAGGAAAATGTGCTGAACGAAACAAAATGGCATTTGCAGTGAGTCACCACCTAGGAAGTCTGTAGTGCTCTGACATGATCCATAAGTGTGTCAGAAAAAACTGTTCAGAAGTACAGATTTATCTCATCAGATGCTCATGCTTCAAAAGAATTAGAATACAGCTGTAACTCTCCTTCCCTCCGCCCCTGCCTCCCAAATTGCTGAGTTACCTTCCTCAGAAGAAATATTTTGTGAAATAAGACTTTAATGGATTTTGTGTAAAATCTTTAGGGAGGAAGGAGTCAGACGCATCACCCATAGCTCTGACCATCTAGAAAAATCATGGAGTTCAAAGTGGTGTGAGGCACTACAGTGTCTGCAGGTTTTCTTCTCCCATACTGCAGAAACTGTTTCCAGTTACTGCTAAAGAGCGAGCAGAGGGGAAGCTGGCAGATAGACAGACTGACAAAGAGGAAACTGTGCGAAGCCAAGCCTACACAGTGCTGTGCGAATGCATGCGTTCACAGAGTCCTGCAAACAGAGCAGCCCGCTCTCATCACTCCTCGGCTGCATTACTGAGCATCTTAAGCTCCTTCAGACAAACAACAGCTTCATATTCAGAGGATCCGTCTGAATTTAGTTATATTCCTGTCTTCCAAATTTGTAGCTCTCATTTGTTACATAAAACTCTACACAAAGCCCTATCCATTCCCAATCAGCATATTCTAAATGCAATATCTGAAATCTGAAACCTATTAAAAGCACCAAGACTAATGCTGCTTTGTTCTTCAGCTTCCTGTTTAAAAAAATAGTCAACAGGAAAATTATTTCTTACAGTAGACCACAACCATCCTGTTTCTTAACACAGTCTTTTCACAGCTGCAGCTGTCTCCAGCTTAACTGTACCATGAGGGTATTTCACCAAGCTTTTAACTGCTTCATCGGATTAAAGAGAGAAATTCTTCTCTCTGCACTGCTTTGCTAAGAAGTTAAAGCAGTCTAGATAGTGTACCATCAGTCTCCTTGGCATTCCATGTGTCATAGGAAAGTTTCTGGAGCAGGCAGAATACAGTTCGGTTTGATATCTGACTTTTAAATGAATCCCTTAAGGCAGCTCAGATCTGAACACAGCAAGTGAGCCTGGTACTCTGTGAAGCACTTCCTGTAAAATACCATAACTTGTCGACCTCCCTGTCAGTTAGAGATGGTTTCCCACTTGGGCTGCTCTGTTGTTTTTTTCCCTTTTAACTGGATTGTTTTAGAACAGCTTCTTAAGGAATTGGTCGCATAAAGAGGAAGTGAGGTGATGCTTAAAGCCTGAGTTGTCTAAGGGGAAGCCACTACCCACAGACACATCCAGCTTCTCCAAAACCCTCTCTGCATACATGACTTGCAAGGAGGCAGCGAGAAAAGCACTAGATGTTCCCTCCTTCTCTATCCCATCTTACATGTACCTGTACTCAACCACTGTACACTAGCTGGTATTTCTGGTATTGAAGGGCTCTCTGAACAGAACTGCCATCAAAATTAGGTCCACAATGGTGAGCTTGTATTTTGCTGCTGTTGAACAAGCCCTATAGCCTGCAGATACAGGCTGGAAAATATCATTTTGGAAGCACGGGACAAGCTTCTGTAATAAACCAAACTCTGGCAAAACTGGCCTGAAGTTTAACACGAGCATCCTGCAGGGTTGTTTACTCATGGTGCTCTAGAGCACACACTTCCTTTAGAAGCCATCAGAAAAGAGATCACATGGCGTGACTGAGAAACCCGTGTGCCCACACAAAAAAGTATAATGCACATACAGAGCCCGTAAAACACCCTAGATTGTCAAATTTTAGTTTAAAACTAAAGTTGCGATACTACTCCATTCTTACTTTTGTCACTCTGATTCTGCTGATGAAAAAGAGATTTTTAGAAACTCAACTTTGAAACTTTGCAGGAAGAAGCAGCACCTCTGTCTTTGAAGCTCTAACTCATCCTTGCTGTTTGGTTGTCAGATATTCTTTGTCTTACTGTAAGCAAAAATTAGAGAGGTGCTCTCTGGATGTTAAAATTTGATCACTCTAAGCCTATATGAAGAATAACAATGGTCTGAAGAGATGCAGTGACCTGATGACTTGCTCCCATAGCACAGGGCGGTGCTGGGAGTAGCCCATGGAATGAGAGCACCTCTTGGGCTGCAGAACCAAAGCAGCTGAATCAGCACAATGCAACTCTGCAGCTGCTTTGTTCATCACCAATTTACAGGATCACTGTTTCTCACAGAGCATAGAGATGTCCTGAGATGTTAAATGTAACTCTGCAACTATAGAGCTTTGGTTATTGTCCTACACTTCTGCAATGGACCCACATCATTATTTGCTTCTGGTTAGTAGGAAAGAACTGAATTTAAGAAAAGTTTATTATGTAAAATTGCTAATGGTTGACACTGTAAAATACCTGAAATAGTAACCAATCCACCTAGTAATAAATGTTTCCCACCAAATCTGTTAGCAACAAAGTTTCTTATAATGCTTGGCGCTTTAGGGTGTTGAAAAGGAACTGGCTCCAAAAGACCAAGACTGAAGGTGTATTGGTACTTGAAAACCCAGGACACATGTCCTAGCATATTTTCTAGGCATCAGTGTAAATTATCACAGCTTTTAGGAAGCTATATAGAATTGTTATGTCTAGGTGAGTATTGGTGGTGTGGCAGAAATGATTACAGTAACTAACCCCTACATACACTGCAGCATCAGCCAGCAAGCCCCAAGCACAGAGATCTGGATTGTCAGCAAGAGAGAAGGATTTGCACAGCTGGCTGCAGCAGCTGCTCTCCCACTGCATAGCGGGTGCCAGCAGCACCGTGCCCAGCTCAGGCTCCTCTGCAGACCCAGCCTGCTCAGTCCAGGCTGCTCGTGCCACGAGCAGGCACCAGCACTGCAATGCTCACACTCCCTGCCCTGCCTTAGCCACAGCCCTGGGGCTGGCACAGCCTCCCTGCAGCCTGGTGGAAAGCAGAGTGCACAGAGTCCACGCCTGCTGCCTCTGCAGAAAGCCGCCCTCGCTGCTGGCAATGAGATGCTCCAACACTACCTAAGTAAAGAACATCTGCATACAAAAACTCTGATTTCTGCAAACTACCAGGCACATGCAGCAGCCACCATCAGGCAAAAATGGCATTACACTGAATCTAGTGAAACACAGATTTTGGGCACTTCAGATTTAATTCGGTATTTCAGAAATCATTTCAGGAGCACTACAAATGCTAAAAACTAACAAAAAGAAACATGACCTTTACTGTGGGATGGACAGTGTGAGCAACCACACTGCAAGTGCATGGTTTGTATCTAGTCAGACATTTTGAGCTGCTTGAAGGCCCTCCCTCCTAAACATTGAGTCAGAGGCAGGCAGACAGACAAGCTCACTGTGGTTAATCATTTCCTGCATGATTAATTTCCAAGCAAAAAAAAGAGGAAGGAACAAACAACTGTAGAAATAAAACAGAATTTATAAATTTAAGGGGAAAAACCCCTGAAGCTGCCAATTAAAATGCTGATTTCTCCCCTCTGCAAAAGGACCCAACTTCCAAACCAGTGTTGATTTGTTTTTTTAAAAATACATTACTTTCTCCTAATGAAAGAAGAAACTTATTTTGGTTTTAAAACCTGAATTTGAGGAAATTGGGCTACATTACCAAGTACTTTAGTAAGGACAC